GGGAACGAGCGGAGTTGCACTGAGTCGAGACCACCACTAATCTGTACGCCCAGCCGTGGGCAAGGCAGCAGCGCGATTTGGCTGCTTTCAAAAGTAAAGAAATGGTCAGATCTGTGCGGCTTGGCGGTGCGTGACCCATGAAAGGGTCAGGGTGTGTAAGGGAGACGCAAGGCACGTTCCGGGCCGCGTTGGGAGTGGTAGGCCAGATGGTCAGGACAGGGGGGACCGGCGAGGAGCAGCAGTGAGGACCACTGCTAAGGGATCACCTTTGGTCTTCGTCTTAATGCCAAAATTGGTTACTGTTGGCTGCGGCGAGTGGAGCTCCATGCGTGTAATCCCAGCACTTTTGGTGAGGGCCGAGGCAGGGCGTGGATCACCTGAGGTCAGCGGGCTCGAGACCACCGCCCTGACCAAGACAGTGGAAACCCGCCGTCCCACTAAAAAATACAAAAAAAAATTGCCGGGGGCAGCTAATGGTGCCGCCCAGCACTTTGGGAGGCCGAGGCGGGCGCATTCCAGCAGGTCAGGACGATTCGAGACCGATCCTGGCTTTAACACCGTGAAACGCCCCATCTCTACTAAGAAATACAAAAAACTAGCCCGGCGCGACTGGGTAGCGGGGTGGCGCCCTGCTTAGTCCCCAGCACCGCAAGAGACAAACTGGAAACACCCAGAAGAGAAAACAAAAGAAACACACAGGAGGCGGGAGCTTGCACCTGAGCTAGATCTCGGGGGCCTGGCAGCTCCAGCCTGCGCGCGCAAACAGAGTAGCGTCGTGCGTCTCAAAAACAAAAAAACACAAAAAAAAACACACACAAAAACAATAACATCACCACCAGAAAACGATACACAAACAACATCGGGACCCCCACCATATTTCACATGGGACAGGATATCGTGAGGGAAACTTAGAAAACAAGCGCCGTTGTACCCCCAGCAACTGAGGCAGACAGAGTAAGAACTTCTATCTCAAAAAAAAAAAAAAAAAAATGAGTGACAGCACGGTGCTCAGCCTGTATCCCCAGCACTACACCCAAACACCCCCAAGGGCGAGGCGGTATTACCTGAGGTCATGAGTTGAGGAACAAGCCTGAACCAACATGGAGAAACCCCTGTCTTACTCAAAAAATACAAAACGATAGCTGGGCATGGGGCGGTGCCTGTAGTCCAGCTTCTCGGGAGCTAGGCAGGAGAATGGTGAACCCCAGAGGCCGGGGAGCTGGCATGAGCACAATCGTACCACGTGGGCACCTCCAGCTGGGCAACAGAGTGAGACTCTATCTCAAAAAAGAAAAGAAAAAAAAAAAATACAAAAACAATTAGCCAGGCATGGTGGCACATGCCTGTAATCCCAGCTACTGGAGAGGCTGAGACAGGAGAATCACTTGAACCCAGGAGGTGGCGGTTGCGGTGAGCCAAGTTCTCGCCCTGCACTCCAGCCTGGGCAACAAGAGTGAAACTCTGTCTCAAAACAAACAAAAAAAATTGGTTATTAATGTATTCCATCTGGGTACACACAAGTTACTAAAGGAACCACTGATTTCCTGCTGAACTAAAATGTACCATTTTTGTTATCTTCCAACTTCCCACATACCTATCTGGCCTCATCTGTTCCTCTGTCGACAACCTGCTGGTTTAATTACAGTGCCTTCCTACCCACCCTTGGCTCTGATTCCTGGCAAGGCAGGCCCTACCCCCTGTTCTTTCCAGTTTCATTCTTGGCTATTCTCTAGC